GTAAGGGAAGAGAAAATAAGGGTCTCGCCTAATTTTATTTAATGTGAAAATCAAAATATAAATACATGTAAATTTTAAATACAACTCAATATCACATAAAAAAAGACAAACTAGCAACAAAAAATAAATTACATCAAAGAACCAAAATGAACTACAAAAAGTAAGTAGGGAATCTCATAGAGAAAAAGGAACACTCTTCGCAGAAGTTGAAATTGCAAAGAATTGATGAACCTCTAATTCGAGTGGTAACCACTACATAAGAAAAACGAACATCATGCAATCCAAATGGTTAGTCCACCCCAATCAGCAGCAAATCGACTGCTTAAATCAACAATTCAACATTCATTTGCAAAAACACAAACCAAGCAATAAGAAAACCAGAGAATCCCTTCCTCAAACAAATAAAAAATGAAATGGGAGACAATAATAGAAATACCACAACCATCTAATCATCAAAAATAAGTGGCAAAATTAACCATGAGCATAGAAGTTACATGCACCTAAGATTAAAATTCCTTCCAGTAGTAATAATTATCAAGAATATTCAGAGATATCGTTCAATTTTAATTGAAGGTTGAAATCATCACGGCTCTAACAAAGTCAAGCTTGCACTATATATAGATGAAGAAGAGTATAGAACAATAAAGAAGAAGAAGATAAAATGAAGTGTGGAGAATAATAAGTGGAATGAAGTGTGGAGAAGCAGAAAGTTGAATGAAGTGCAGATGAGATGGAGTAGAATGAATTGTAAGGAAGATGAAGTGGAATGAGGTATGGAGAAGAAGAAGAAGCATATAGTGAGGAAAATCGAAGAACTCTTAAAGAGGAAGCATACCGCACGAATCATAGAACACCTGAGTGAAGAAACAGCCAAGGGAGGGAGAGAGGAGAGGCGAGAGTGAGGAGTGTCTCAGTCTAGAGGCCAAGAGGAGTCAATTATAGGCAGTGGTTGCCAAAGGGAGGCATCGATAGAAGTTCAAATCAAGCGGGAGATATTGTATCAGCGACAATGTACCTACGTCGCCCTCTCTGTCGGGGCGGTGTGTGTGAACCCAGGGGGCGTTGCTTTCTCTTGCCCTAGGATGTCGGGGTGGCTCGAGTGCTCCAAGTGTGTTGGGGTGGCGCAAATGTGCCACCTTGAGGCGTGGGTGTGCCACAAATTATAATTCGAAGGTTATGGTCAAAATAACAATCTTATATCACCTAGAAGAGAAAATTTCAATGAATCAAATGGTGCTATTAGATTTTGGTTGGAGTGATTCCCGTGACAAGAAATTTCATGTAAAGGTTTGAGCCTTGTCCTACTATGAAGAAAATTGAGCCTTTTTACTAAAATTCACAAGGGTTTAAAATTAATCGATTTGAATATTTTTTAGCTCAATTTGAGTATATATTAAATTTGGAGTTGATCTTAGTTTATTTCGAGGGCAAAAATGTAATATCACAGAAATTATCATAATTAATATCAAAATTATTGTATGATAAATAACCCTAAAATGAAGTCTAATTTCTGTATGAATGGCCCACTTGAAAGATTTTGATGATCTGGACGCATCTACTAAGTACTTTTTTGTAAATTAACACTGATAAAAAGAATATATATGGGTCTAATTCCCAAACACGAAAGCTCACCGTGAAAAAATTAATGTAAAATGTTATATAATAGCAATCAAAACTTATTGCATGTTCTTCATACATTAATAATGAATCGAATGTTGTTCATAAAATAAATTTCTATTATATGATATTTATTTTTATTAAATAAAATTTTAAAATGACAATTTTAGAATACTCTCTGATCGTATTACGTTTCAGTTCAAATATTTATTTTGATTGAAGCTAATTATTCATGATTTCTATTACATGATATTTATTTCAGGTTTGTCCTAAATATTTGAACTGATTTAGGAGTTGAAAAAAAATATGTCAAAAAATGGACTTTCAACATGTGTGACTATCATTCAAGGTACAACACCATATTGACGTTAACCGAAGCGATCAAACAAGTTCAATTGTGAGGGTATTGACATTTAGGATTTGAGTTTTGAATCTCTTAAGATGCTTTGAGGATTGAAAATTTGATTTGAGTGATTGAAGATTTGGGGTTCAAGATTTTTGAGTTTTGCATTCCTTATTGGTGGGATTCATTAAAGATCCACTTTGAGAATTTATCTAACCATTGCCTAGAAGTGTTTAGTTGAAATAATAGGAAAGGAGGCTACTTGAGGAATTACTTCTAACACAAGAAAAAAAGGCAACGAAAGCAATCATATGATGATGCAGTGGTGCACAAAATCCCAATGATCGACGATATTAAAATTGTGTTTACCTAAACACATTAGGATAGAAAATTATATGAACTCACATACAACCAAAAAAGGAGAATACAATGATTAGACCATGATAGAAAACAATACAAACTTACATCTAACTTAAGGGTTAATCAAAGGGAAAGTTAATTTAATGGAACACGTTAAGACAAAAAATTATCTGGACTCACATCCAACCCAAAAAGATCAATAGAGTGATTAGATCAAGATAAAAAATCGCACGAATTCACTTATAACCTGAAAGTTAATTAAAAAAATGCTGATTTGATTTATTTTGCTCATTTTATTTCATATTACATTATTCAATGTCATTTTTATATCATTTTGTATCATGTACTGCAACATATCAGGAAGAAAGGAGCATGAACTCACCTTCAACCAAATAAGTGAACAAAGGTGATTAGACCAGTAGAGAAAATACAGAGACTTATATCTAATCAAAGAGCTAGTCAAGTGTCAGTTTAAGATAGAAAGTTTTGGAACTTGCATTTATCTTAAGAGTCGCCCCTTTAGTCTTGAAAGTGAACCATCTGGCTTTGGGCTTCTAAGATTTCTTCTGTTGTGCACAATGACTAATATCAGAGAGTTGTTGCACTGAATCTCTACTGAACTTACTTAGCAAAGGCATCGACTCGTCGAATCCATCGTGGGAACCAAGGTTAATGAATCGAGAGGGAGGGAATATTTATTTTTTTATTTTATTGGGTATTGATGACTGAACCAAGAAAGACACTTGACAACAAATTTTCTTGCTCCAAAATTAATTTTCATTAGCAAATTCATTATTTTACAACACCCAAAAATACAATAAAAGCAATTAACCTGAGTTGCTTCGTGCGGGGGCCATATTGGGGCCCTTAACTAAATGGTAAAGAACCTGGTTACTTTATGCGGGGCCATATTGGAGGCCCTGTACAAACAACGAATATCCATGCGAGCTTGTTTGCTTATAGTACACACCAGACAAGTGCAATAATTCTAACTCTAAGGCGTGCAATGACCATACTAGGACCCACTGTAAATTTACTTAGTCGAGACATAAGTTTTTGTTGAGGTCGGTATCAAAATCAACAAAACCGACGAACCTGAGAAAACAACATATCATATATTTGGTATGTGATGAGATAAACCAAACAAAGGAATCATCAAAAGATTTACCTTAATTCAAATTTACTAACCCAAAACATTAACTCACATCAACAATTGTGTCTGTTGCGAGATCAATGAACCAGATCACATCATGATGGTGTCACAGAGGACTTACAATGACTTTTAATGGATCTTGAGCTAAACTTGTGGAAAGGAATGATCAATGTCAATGATCACATTAGAGAATAGTTGCATTTATAATACTCTAGATTTACTCAGCCAAGGCATGAAACCATGCGGTCAACTATTGCTAGCTTGAGGTGTACGAACCTGATAAAGAAACATATATCATGCATACATAGTCTTTCAATGTGCTAAACGAATGGAAATGTGCCCATGGACCAATCCTAAATTAGTCTGAAATACTGAATTAATTGGACTAAGAAATTCAATCGACATCAAATAACCATGTCAATTGTTACAAGTTTAAGTTACGCTAAATTAATTACAAAATTCCTAACAAATGTTCGATGAATAACTCTAGGGAATAATTGCATAGACAATATCTTACATAACCTTACTCAGCCAAGATGTTGGTTCTTATGGAGGCCATATTCAACCAACAAAATTGAAGAACTTGAGAAAATAATATCATTTTTCGGTGTGTGATGCGTTATGTTGGGAGAAAGCATCATCAAGAGACTTACCTTAACTCAGATCTACTAACCAAAAGGACTGTCCTACATAACTGACATTGATTGCTTTGAGATCAATCAATCTAATCACAATATGATGATGCTGCGAGGGCTTCACTATCTAATCACTAACTTTCTATGGATCAAACTAAGTTTTTAAGTTATCAATAATAAAAAAAAAGATATTAAATAAAAAAAGGAATATTTTAATATAATTTATATCATGTTGCACTTAAAAGATAGTTTGATTTTCTTAATTATATTGAAATATAATTTTTTACATAGAAAACTAATTTTAAATACAAGGACAATTAAATCCAATTCAACATAAACACACCACACAATTCTTATATTTACGCATTAAACATCTAAATAAAATAATATCATTTTTCGGTGTGTGATGCGTTATGCTGGGAGAAAGAATCATCAAGAGACTTACCTTAACTCATATCTACTAACCAAAAGGACTGTCCTGCATAACTGACATTGGCTGGTTTGAGATCAATCAATCTAATCAGGGCTTCACTCTAACTTTCTATGGATCAAACTAAGTTTTTAAGTTATGAATAAAAAAAAGACATTAAATAAAAAAAAAGGAATATTTTAATATAATTTATATCATGTTGCACTTAAAAGATAGTTTGATTTTCTTAATTATATTGAAATATAATTTTTTACATAGAAAACTAATTTTAAATTAAATACAAGGACAATTAAATCCAATTCAATATAGACACACCACAAAATTCTTATATTTACGCATTAAACATCTAAAATTTGATATTCACATGCATGCCATTGAAAGAATGAAAGCATTAACATCACATTAAAAAACATAATATTACTAAATTTTTAAAAGTGAAAATACACTTTTTTAATGTAAAAGTAAATTTAGCTGCTAAGTAAATTTTTAAAAGTGAAATACACCTTTTTCATGTAAAAGTAAATTTAGCTGTTAAATATGTAAATATACAGAAGTAGTGTGATATATATGTAAATTTTCCAAATACTAAATAACGGTCAATATATTAATCCATTTCCCGGAGATTAGGTTCCGAGTCGACGAAGGCTCGGAGGTGTCTTCGAGCGTGATCCCCAATTACAGGTGCGAAATCTTCTCCCTGCATACCTTTCTTCTTCTCCCATGCGTTCTTGTTTATGAATTCTTGCGGAGGATCCGAAATCCTTGCTTCGCGTTTGCTCTGAGCTTGTTTTATCTTCCTTTAGGGCGACTGGTAGAAGAAAGCTAGGGTTTTAAGAAACTTCCTCAGGAATTCTAATGGTGGAATCAGAAAAGCTGTTTTAGAATGAGTAATTGAGTATTCTGATGAGGATAGTTTGTTCTTATTGATATGATTGCGTTTGAAGGAATTGTCCGGCAGAAAATGTTCAAGTGTATTAGGAGAAAGTAAGCACGGGTAGATAAGGGTGAGGGGATACTTCTCTATCTGCCAAAGTATGATTCATGCATAATATTTATATATTCTCATCTTTGGGATTATCTTCTTTACGGAGTGAAGTGAAAAATAGTATCTGACTGTTTAAGTGAAGTCATTTTAGTCCCAGAGTTTATAGAACCGTCCAATTAGTCTCCATGCTATTTAAATTGAAGTTGAAATAGTAATTCGTGGTGACAATTTCAGCCCATATTAAAAGATTATGGGATTAAATTGACAATTTTATGGTCCGAATGAGTAAGATGACTATTTTGACACTCTTACTTTTCTATTTATGTATTGATGCCAAATTTTGCATGGATGATGGTAAAAGATGATTAAAGTTGGTTCTTTTTATTTTTATATAAATTGCTTGGTAGTAAGGATGGAAAAAAAAAAAATACATCGGAAGATGACAACGAAAAGTGGTATATAGGCTTTGATTGAATTAAGTGCATTTAGAATGAAGATAATTGAATCTTGAGATGTTATTCCATTGGATTTGTCAAATGAGAATTTATTGAGAAAAGAGGCACACAATTTTTATACAAACATAAATGCTTTGGATTTAAAGAAACATCTTTTAACTTTTGGAGATTAGGAGATATTTGAATGCTACAATTCTTTTGGAGATTTGAAGATATTTGAATAGAACAATTGAGATATCTTTCTAATGAATTCCAAATTATTGAAAAGGATGTGGAGTGATTGATGAAGTATTTTTTCAGCAATACCTACAAGAGAGTTATGTAGTTGTTGTGATGATTGAATGATTGAACTTAGAAGACAATTTTAAGAGTGATTGATGAAGTATTTTTTCAGCAATACCTACAAGAGAGTTATGTAGTTGTTGTGATGATTGAATGATTGAACTTAGAAGACAATTTTAAGAGTGATTGATGAAGTATTTTTTCAGCAATACCTTTCAAATTTATGTATGGTGGGCTGTTGGCTAACATTGGTAGTTTTGGAGTTTTGAAAAATTTCTAGTGGAGTTACATAAATAGGTGATGTGCAATCTTTTTATTATTTTGACAATATCTGTATTTTATTTTTTTATTTTGAGAAAAAAGTTTATCATTTGTAATTCATAAGCCTCAAATTTTAGCATAGTAGTTTTATACTAACTTTGAGTCATCGTACGCAGTGGTGAAGTCAAAAGTTTTTCTTTATGGGGGTTTTTTTTGTTTTTTCAATAGACTCAAACTAAATTTTTATTATTAGAAATATCAAGGGTTTAATATATCGATTATAGACACAAATATATTAAATAGAATTCTAACTGCACAGATCTATTTTCAACTTGATTATTTATGCTAGCAATAGGAATTCTAAGAGTTCGATTAAGAGTTTTTTTTTTAATGAACTTCATGTGAATACTCACCTTTGCTTCATGACTCAAAAGCATCATCCCATTATATTTGTAAAAAAAAATTATCTACATTGCTTTATGACTTGAAAGTACCCCAATTAGGATCCCATCATTCATAACAACCTTCCCTCTTTATTTAGGATCTGCTTGTGACAGTTGCAGCTGTAGAAAAAAGTGTTTTTCAAAAACTTGCAATGACTATTGTAAATTTATTTTAATTAGAAAAAGTCAAACCGTAACTTTCTGATGACCATCACACTTTAACAGTTCAAGCTAAAAAAAACAGCTTTCTACTACAAAAATTTCTAAAAAATAGTGAGAAAACAGTTTCTAAAACAAAACTATGGTGGCGGTATTAGAAGTAAAGCAGACTGAAAGCTGTCCCAAACAAACTCTTATCATATTAGGCAATTGCATGCATAATATCAAAATCTTAGCTATTAATAAAAATAATACTTTCTTATTTTAAATTCTCACCAAAATGTTGTAATCTGCAACAAAATTCTAATCCTTTGTTTTCACCTTCGTTAAATTTACATTCGATCATAGCAATGACAAATGCACAAGTTCATCGATTGAAAAATAAAATAAAGGCCTTGATGTCAGTGCATAAATAGGAAGCATTTCAATGTTACATAAATAAGGGCATTTGTATACATGCCACCTAATTCCTATTTATTTACATATTTGCCCCAAATTTTACTTTTTTACATTTGGATCACATAAATCTCTTATATCACATAAAAAATACTGCTATTTTAAGTTTTAAAATGTGAAAGACGCATTTTTATGCATATATAAGATGACGGGTATGTAAAAATTGAAGTTTAGATGTTAGATATGTAATGCTAGGCGTGTAAAGGAGTTGAATTGAGCTCGAGCCACCCTCGGCTTGAGCTTGAGCTTGATTAATTAATCAAGTTCGAGCTTGAGCTTAAGTCTATGAGTGTGGGTCGGCTTGTTTATTATAATAGAGAAACAACAATACTAATTTAAACTACGTGTTAAAATAAAATAATAAATAAAATGAACAATTATGATATAAATAATAAAAATAACTTGATATAAATATAAAATATTATTTTTTAAACATTTTTAATAATTCAAAGATAATTTATTGGACTTTAATTACTTTTGAGTATATTCATACTAATATTTTTATAAACGGGCTGGTTCAATAGCTAACTAGTTGAGTCGGAGTTGGCTTGAGATGAGCCCAGCTCATGAGCCACTTATCGAGCTGAGCATGAGCCAACTCACAAGTTGGCTTGGCTGACTTACACCTCTAATAAATGCATATAAATTGAGTGGTATGTATGTATATAAATGCATTTTTTTCTTGTTATTATTCTTAAGATTTTTAAATTCACTACCTTATCTCTAATATTCTTCATTATCAAACCTTCAATCTCACAATCCTAAATACATATGAATTGAGTGGTATTTCTATAATTTACATACATACCACCTAATTCCTATTTATTTACGTATCTCAAACCATAATATTTATATTTGTTCCACACAAATCTTTTTTATCACATCAGAAACACCACCATCTTAACTCTTAAAGACTGAAATACGCATTTTTATGCATAAGATGTCATGTATGTAAAAATTGAAGTTTAGGCGTTAGGTATGTGAATACATATGAATTGAGTGGTATGTATGTAAATTTATTTTGGTTTCTTATCATCATTTTTAAGATTTTCAACTTCACTCTACCTAGTCTGTAATATTTAACCTTCTCAGACCTTCAATCTTACAATCTTAAATGCATATGAATTGAGTTGTATGTATAAATAAGGGGAGTTTACATACATATCACCCAATTTCTATTTATTTACATATATAACACCCAAACTTTAAGGGGAATTTACTTACATATCACCCAATTTCTATTTATTTACATATATAACACCCAAACTTTACTTTTTACATTTGTAACACACAAACCGTTCATATCATATTAAAAACAGCGCCATTTTAACTTGAAAAAAAAAAAAATGAAACACACATTTTTCATGCACAGGTAAGATGTCATATATGTATAAATTAAGCTTGGTGTTAGATATGTAAATACATATGAATTGAGTGGTATGTACGTAAATGTATTTTACTTTATTGTCATCATACTTAAGATTTGAACGTCACTCTACTTTATCTCCAACATTCCTGGCCTTTTTGTTCATGAAGCATGGGAAATAAGCCTGCAAAAGAGGAGAAGAAGAGAAGAAGTGATGAGATTCTGGTGAAGGTTAAGCCTCCATTGGACCCAATTTATATGAGATGGCTCGCTCGAGACCTTCAGAGATTGCACGGCTTCGTTCCGAAGAATCCTCGAGCGATAGAGCCGCCGGAAAATGTGATCGAGTTTATGCGTCTGTATGGCTGGTTAGATCTGGACCTGAGTGATCCAGATCTTGCTCCTTTGTTCAAGTAGAGCACACTATTTCAATGAGGGATTTGAGGAAGTGAAGACAAATTTTATGTCTGGGTCATTTGCATACAATTCCTATGTATTTACGCATCTAACACTCGATTTTTGCTTTCGACATTAATACCACTCGAATCTTTCATATCACATAGAAAGTACCACAACTGTAACTTTAAAATGTTATATACGCCTTTTCATGCTTTGGTAAGGTGGTATGAATGTAAAACTTGAAGTTTAGGTTTTCGATATGTAAATATATATGAATTGAGGGGTATGTATGTAAATCTTCCTTTGTATATTTAAAATTCTAGGCATTGAATAGGTTTGACATGCACTTGACTCTCGTATTATACGGGTGAAAAAATGCCAATATGAACCCAACCTGCCTTCAAACTTCCAACTCAAACTCCACGCGTATAACCCGTTTAAAATAAAGAATAAATGCTATTTGGGTGAAAATTGGATTACGATTGTGGGGGTTAATTCCGGGTTGGCGGGTTGACTTCAAGTTAATTTATCGTTGGTCAGCTATTTTTGGTTTGGTAGGTCAACCCAAATCCAACCCGAAGAACCAAAGAGTTGAGATTTTGAACTTGAACCCGGTTTGAAAATTTTTTGGTTCAACCCAAATATGAATTTTTGGAGTTAGGTTCAGCTCGAGTTGGCTTGTCGGGTTAACTTTTGACACCATGGATGTATTAACGTTGCTTGTATAAAGTATATATATTTAATAAATATAAACTATGTTGATTTTTAAATGATTAAAAATTAAATATTGGAGTTATTTATGATTTTTTTCCATGTAACCGGTAATTTTAATTTATAAAATACTAGAGTAATATAGTTTTTTTTTTCAAATCAGTTATATGTGATGCCTTCTCATTCATATATTTGTAAATGACAAAATTATCTATAAATTTACGAATTATTTTTATATCATATAACGATTTAATAGTTTAAATGTCAAGCAAAATAAATAAATGAATAATAATAATAAATTAAGTTCTCTATTATATTTAAATGCCAATAACTTTTTAAATAAAATTTTTTAATCTTTCAAATTTTAAATACAATACCTTAAATTTTTTTTTTTAATTTTTGCCGCTCTTTTTTCACAATTTTTACATACGAAGTATCTACGCAGCTTTGCGTGCGGACTCCAGTAATATACTACGATGTGTGTGATATCGGGTCCACTTAAAAAAAATCAAAGTGAAACCACTAAGATTATTGGAGTGGAAGTGCGAATGTTATTTGTAAGAGTTATTGGGAAGTTATTAAAGGAGTTATTAGGGCATTAACTCCAATAATGCCGCAATAACTCCTCAATAACCTCCCAATAACTCCCAAAAATCTCCACAGTTTTACTTCAATAGCCCCTAATAATATCCGCAGCTCCATTTCAATAACCTCATGCATTAAATAACACAATAACCCAAAAATAACTTCTATAGTTTCCGGTCAATAACTCCACAATAATCTCTATTGTGAGGGCATATTACTGAAAGCCCGCATGTAGAGCTAAGTAAGGAGTCAAGGAAAAATTTCATTAGTGAAATAATTTTGAGTGATTAAATTATTATAATTAAAATTTTGAAGGTTAATATGTTATATTTAAAATTTCAAATGATTGTTATGCTTTTTTTTAAAATAATATTTTCCCCATTTTTTCAACTCTGCAATCTGCAGATTTTTGAAGCTGGAATCACTTCAGCATCCACCAGAAATGATTCGAGCTCTGAGAAGCCTCCGGTCTCCATTCTTCTCCTCCTCTCCTCTCCCCTTCTCCCTCCTTAAGTTCCGGTGCCGTAATCTCATCTCTCCCCACTCTTCAGATCCAACAAACCCTACAATCCCTTTTTCCACAACCAGAATATCCACCCACGGCCTCCGACGGAGGAAGAAGAACTTCAGAGACCCTCCGCCGGACCAATCTCAAATATCCGCCGCGGTCGCATCTCTACCGCCGCGCTTCACCTCATCGGACTTATCCGCCGCCATCGCCCGCCTCCACGACCTTCGCCTTTGCATTCCCCTCCTCCATTGCTCTCTTCATCGCCCCAACCTTGTCCGACATGGTGACTCCACCGCCTTCTCTCCCTTCCTCATCGCTGTCAAGCGCCTTGGTACAGCCCATCTCTACCGCGAAATGGACTCCGCGGCCTCCCTTGCATTCTCGATCTCCTCTCTTTC